CATTTACTGAACGCGGTTGTGCAGTCGTACTGCGTACTGCTGATGCTTTAAAATTTATTATCAAGGGATGAGCCACCGCCCTCAACGGACAATTAAAAAATTAAAAAAACCAGTTGGCATAAACTAGGCGCACTGCAAACAGAATACAAATCCTATTGCGGCGCCAATATGCCTATGCCCTTGCGTATTATTCGAAGGACTGGTTCATGCAGGAATTAAAAAAACAGAACTATCCCACACATACCAGCTGATATGAGTGAATGTATTAAATTATCAAACTAAATGTAAGAATCACAACAATTTCACTTCTTTTAACTTTACAATGTTACGGTAGAGGAATGTAGTTACAATTATAGAACTTTACGACAAAATATCTTGTATGAACGAATAAGATCCGCCATTTATGTAAAAGGTGTATCACGTTTGTTCAACATACGTGTAGGGGTTGAAGGAAGGGAAAATGTTCACACGCTACATACCACTACCCTGACGTAACATGGGGATTACATGTGCAGCATGAACTTGGAGGATTTTGATCCACATTTTCCGGATGAGAAACTGCCATGGCTACCCATAAACGTGCGAACCAAACACATTGTAACGTGATCTCAACTGGGAAGATGTATCCCTACCAAAGCTGCAGTAGGGTAAAAGGTCGCAAAGAAAGAACTTCCATGATGCCCCTTAATACGTGCAGAACACTCTCAAGTATAGTAGGAAATGCATGAACTGCAGCAAGGTGTATACCAACCCAACTAAAACCATCACTAATGTTTTGACAATCTGCAACGTACAATGTCATGCAGAGGCGTACTTTCTACAGCAATAACGTAGAACAACCACTGCAAGCACTTGAAAGCTGCCAAAATGCAGAGTCACGTCCATTGACACAGCCTATACCCATGTCCGAACAGACGCGCGTTCAGGTGGGCTAAAATTAAGCGCAAATTTACTTCGGTCTGACGGAGTGCGCATTGGCTAGAAAAAAATCTGGAAAAATTTCAATGCGCACAGGGCCAAATTTGATTATTTTATCATACCGGATGGACGTCGAAAATTGCCGACATGCATCCGACCGCAACCGTTGGCCGGATGGACGTCATCCTCGCTGTCATGTCGCGTCATTGATCCCGTTCGTCGCTGTCACGATATCATTCGCGGTTCCCCTATTCACGCCCCTGAATCCCGACGCGCATCTACTGGCTGGCGCTCCTCGTAACGCGCGTCTATTGGTTCACTACTGATCTCACTTACTCTGTCCGTTCCACTCCTTCCCCCGCCCTGAATGACCACATACTGTATGAGACAATCTCATCCGCACGTTCTCTGGAACCACACCGCTACAATCTCATCCGCACGTTCTCTGGAACCACACCGCTCCCCTATACCCATGGGTTGGACGGATGGGAGGTTAGGCGTCGAAATTGGCATCGCTATTGAAGATTCCTGGGATGGAAGGCCTACTGGCTCCATAAAATATCTGCAAAAATTATATCAAAGCACGGGCCAAAACACTCCCCACGCTCCGCGGCGGATGGAAGTCCCGAATCTCGGACGGAAGGCCTATTGGTCGGATGGAAGGTTTCATCGCTGGTTTCATCCGTGTCGCAGCCCTCGTTATGATCATTCTTGACATGGCACTCACCTGTTGGCTACTTTGAATTCCACTCTTCCTGCCTTTCAGGTTTGAATGCCCTTTTTCCCGCCTTAAAACTGTACTCACTGGCTCTCTCTCTTTTGACTGCTGCTTTCCATCTAAGACACCCATCCATTGGCCATTCCCTCTGGAGGCACCCATCCATTGGCCATTCCCTCCTGGGACACGGCGGCAAGTCTGGTCGGACCATCACAGATCCACTGACCGGATGCTACCGCTTCAATAGTTTTGTACGAGGGTAGAAACGTGTCTGTTTTTGCGAATGTGGCAGGGATTCTGAATATAGTTGTAGGGGAGAGCGCGAGGAGGATGGCTTTGCGAATACCGCCGGCATGCAACACCCGTAATTAGCGGGAAGAGTTGCCCTTGCTCACGCTCATTAATGGCCCGCCGTCCACGTCCATCTCTACAATCCCCACTGCGCCCCTCTCAAGCTGCCCCCGAACGGCACGTTGCTCCGACGTGCATCCGAGCTGCCCCTGCTCTCCAAAATTGATAGCAACAAATCGATGGCGACCTGAAAGCATCCCTGACCTGCATCACGGCGAGCTCGGCGGCGAGCTCCAGCGGGCACGTAGAAATCGGAAAGCAGGCGGCTGTGGCCCGGAGAGCATTCCCCGCTTGCTCCCCGACTGCACGGGGACAACGAGGCAATGGGTGTAGTGCAGAAACGCGCGAGGCGCGACCACCATCCGCAGTCAACTGGAGGGTCACGCACGGATAGGCGAATGTGTACAATGAAGCGGACACGCGCGGGAGTTTGAAGGTAAAGCGGTAGGCAAGCGGTGAAGGTGGAACGGCGCGGCTCTGGGAAGGTGTATGCAGAACTGGCCCGTGCTCATACAATCTGCCTCTCACGAGGAACAGTCCCTCGCTCGCCCCCCTCATCCCCCCAACCGAGTGAATCATATGGCAACGAACCGCTCTGCGCCTTAGCGAACCCCTTTCCCCCACCCACACCGTCGTCCATAGCCCCGCTCTTTATAAACAGCCAACCCCGCCGTACTAGCTTTCGTTCCTCTCCCCTCCTCACCCCTCATCCCGACGCTCATCATCTCATCTTGACTCCTTTTTTTTTTCGTTCTACGATACCACCAACTCTCCAACATGTTTCCCACCGGCTCCCCCCAAACACCGTTCTTCCCTATCGGTTGCCCTACAGAGCCTCCCCCAAACTCCCTCGACGCTTCCGTTGCTCGCTTCACTCCTCCCGCTCCCAAACCTCTTACCCCCCCACCTGCTTGCAAGGGCCGCTCCAAGCGCAAGCCCAAAGGCATCATTCGCGTTCTACCTGATGGAACCCCTTGGACTTGTGCCAGGTGCAAAACCATCATCACCGCCGTCCGCCGTAGCCGATCGGGCGGCGTTGCAACGCTTTGCAACGCGTGCGGCTTGCGCCGCTCCAAAAACATCCGCGCCGCCCTCGAAGGGGGTATTTCCAAGAAGCGCGGGAAGAAGGGGCCCAACGCCAAGGTCAAATCGAATGAACGCAAGGCAGTTGCGCAGAAAAAGACGTTCAAGAAGGCTGTTGCGCTGCAACAACACCGACAAGATGTGCCAGTTGCCAACAATACGAAACAGCCTGGCCGCTTTGTTCACCATGGAAACGACCAACAACCGAATCAAAACACACCGGCGCTTCAGGAGCAGCCGGCCCGAGTCTCGCAGGCTGCTGGGCGTGTACACTACGTCATTAAGGAGGAGCAATGCGCGACAGTGGAGCAGACTGCGTATGGCATAGCGCAGCACCAGCCTCCCGCGCATTGGGAAGCACAGTACCAGCCTCCATATGGTTCCCCGGAAGAGCAATCTCCAGCCTCGGACACTTCATATGAAACTTACGCTGTCAAGGATCACAGCATCCCGGTAGAGTATTTGCCGGTCACCGCGCAGCACCAGGAGCGGGTATATGGGGAGGCAATACAAGAGGAGCTCGCCGCAGCGGTCGGCTGGGCCATAGACTCACGATGCAGCGGGCGTCACGGGGTGGGGCGCGACTCTACATGCGGTGCTCGGTGTCGCGATCGGAGAGGGGGAAGGTACTCTCCTGTAGTGCTGTGCCTATTTTCTATATGATTTTGTGGGATGGCCTCTTCGCATGGGTTTTGAAAGTTAGGGGGGAGTGGGAGTCTCATAGTGTGTGGTAGTCACGGTAGTATGGTGTGTTCCATATTGTTGGAAATATGGGTCCGAGTGAAGTGGAATGTTCAATTGCATTAAGCATGTGATTATATGGCATTGATTTAGGCTCGTGTTCAATGAGGGATTAGGGGTTTGAGCTGACACTAACAAAGATGGCACTATATGGCGACCCCCCTGTAACAAAGAAAGCAAATCTGCAGAAGTGAAGATAAAAACTTCATGAAAACATATATAATCGACGGCTCTTTGCAAGCGCGTTTACTTGTTTTTGGTAGTCCACTGATCTCATCTTCTAGCAAAGACCATACCATTCTGTTGATCATTGCTCTATCATTGCTCGTTACATCTGCTTGTACATCGATACTCATAGCACAGCTATCGCATACCCGGCCCTCCTGTCTTCTGTCCAACGCCGAGAAATGCCAATGAGAAATTCTACACTTTACGTAATCATTCAAAGCTATGTGACTATTCCTAGAACACTCTTGAATATTAATCATCCAAAACTACATGCGTATTCCTAGAACATTCTGAAATAGCCATGGAGCGACCCTGAATAGACCGGGGTCCTCGATTTCTGCAAATTTATCTGCTTCGGAGTCGTTCTCGTTACCACGGATCCATTTTTCAAATTCTTCTACCGTCCTCACAGAAGAGAGATGCTGGAATGCATCACGAAGCTCTTGTCTCATGTTTGTATCATTCCAAACTAGAAGAGCCATAGAAATAATCTTCTTGATAGGACAGTTGTTCTGACCAAAGGTTTTCGCTGGGTGCACAATAGACCCTAAACAGAAGCGGACACCACAACAGCGACATGCCCCTACAATACCCCGAAACATCGTACATTGTTTCACGCCATGTCCTTCCTGGCCGCATCGTAAACAACGACGGTTGTAGCATGCCCAATACCTTTCATCGGCATTGGGTTTGTGTTCCACGAGAGACGATTTCTTCACACTACATACAGGACAAAAGAACTTGGTCAGGCGAGGAGAATACCCAGTGCATATGTCTTTTGCACTGGCCGAGGTCTCAGAGGCGCAACTGCTCCACGCCTTCATTCGCGAGTCCTTACCAGGGCGTCGAGGAGGCGTAACCGTGTCCGATGGAGTAGGGCGTCGAGAAGGCGTAACCGTGTCCGATGGAGTATGCGCAACTTTCGATGGTGTTTGCAGAGATTCTGTCCTCTTTGGAGCGTTCACGCGCTTCCTTGTAGGTCGAATCTGAACTTCTTTCCTGCAGGTGTCCTCGTTTTGGAATTCGGAAGCACGTCTACGTAAACGTATTCCACTTCCTTCGGAAGAACAAATATCACAAGCCTCCATCCCACGTTCTTGACAAGGTCGGTGATCAGAACACCCGTCCATGAACAGGTCCACCAGCCACCGACGACACTCACCAGCTGCTTCTGTAAGCCCATGTACAGGACCGAAACCGGACAATTGCGGTTCAACTGAATGATTGAACTGATCGATAATATTAAGCACAGTACTTTTGGCAGGTTGGCCGTCACGACCGGCACGTCCGCTTTCTTGCACGTACTCAGTGAGCGTGCTTGGAAGACCAGCATGTACGACAATCCGAACAGTGGAGATGTCAATGCCGCATCCAAATGCTTTCGTTGCAACCATGACGTGCGGAAGTCCATCAGATTCATCTTCCCAGCCGGATTGCATTGCATTTCTGTCATCCTTTTCCATACCTGCATGATATTTGAAGCAAGGCATGTCCGGGTTCAGGGTTTGTAACATCATACAGAGCGAGTCACATTCATCTTTTGTTTGCACGTAAGTGATGGCTCTGGAGGGAGATGTACCGGAAACGTTACGCAAATAGTCAAGCATTTCGTCCACCTTACGATTGAGATTTTGCCTCTTCACGTTGTAAACTTCATACCTGATGTTCCGTCTCGACGTTTTCTGACGCACAGTGATGAAGTCTGACAATCCACATGCGGAAGTAATTTGTTGTTCAATGGACGGTGGGGCTGTTGCCGTTAGAGCGATAACTGGCACATTGACGAGTTCTGGACGAATGAAACCGCGCAAGTACTTCATGGCTTCTCTGAAACTGTGCCATAATAAAACCAGATGGCACTCGTCCACGAATATTGCATGCAGCTTATTCATAACCTTTAGTTCCCTAAGGAAACATTGATAGTCTGGTGAAGACAGATGCTCGGCGCTGGCGACAACAATACGTGCCCCGGCTACATCCCGCGCATTCCACTGACAGGCTTGGATACCTGCATCTTCGCAGCGTTTGATAAGGTCAAGCTGCAGAGCCACAAGTGGAACGACTACAACCATCACCTTTGTCTTGTGAGTGAAAGCGGGAAGCATGAAAGTCAACGACTTCCCGGCACCAGTTGGCAGGACGACCAAGGCGTCGCTCTTTGGTGCTACACAATGCACGACTGCCTTTTCTTGTTCCTGGGACTTGAAATGCGCGTCACTTCTATTGAGAAAAATCTGCAATTGCTTCAGCAGCGAAGGAGGTTGACAGATTCTCTTCTCGGGCAGAACGGCGTATCCCTCGGTACCAACCCATTCATTTAGTCGCCTTTTCCCAAGTAAAGAGTCGGAGATATGGAGAATGGCGTTGTGCAGGACCTCAACGCGAGTTTGAAGAGTCATTTCAAGACGCGAAATGTGACTTGTGACATCGATCGGATGGGTCCCTGCTGATGCATTAGTGTCCAGTGCACTAGCAGTCATTTGCAGCTGCTCGTAGGCGTTCTCGTAAGAACACGGCTCCCCGTCAAACAGCCCAAGTACTTCATGCCACGTTTTGGAGGCCTGACGGAATCGCTCAAGCTGGCTAGCCGTCAATTTCTTCATATCAAGGGGGGATACACCGTATATCTGGTGAGCGGTATTCTCTGAATGTCCTGCCTGGGTGTGAAGCATTCCCGTGCAGTTTGTTTCGTGCTCCTCGCTATGCGCGAGGAAGTTTTTCACTACTCCACTGTGGTACTGCCGGTATTGACTGGTTCCAATTGGGATTCCCGCACTTTTCATTACCTTTTCGAAGCAGTAGCGCAATCGACAAATTCCGAAAGGCTCTCCACGGCTGGCGAACAGGTGGTCACGATGCCTCTCGCCTAGTGATATGGCACTGTCCACATGAACGTGGTCAAATTTTCTGACAGATGAACCTTCTGGGACCTCATTGGGTTTCGCGAGGAGGTCGACGAGGGCATATTCGACAGGGCGAATAACTGTTAAGTAGATGAGCAAGATACCCGCAGTAACAGCATCAGGATATCGCGCAATGGGACGGCCGACACCATCGTGCACATTGCGACCCTTGTGATACGTAATGACAGTAAACACGAGTCCTGCTTGAGTGAAGATGTTCCGCCGTCCTACTGCCGTATTGCAAACCCGCAAAATCCCCAACTCGGATGCCCTTGCCGGTGCTCCTGAGCATACCTGCAAGAGCGTATATATATGTTCTTGTAGACTTTCGCAATCTTGTAGATATGCTCTGGCTTTGTCTTCGTTCAGGGATGTGTCCGATTCCAGGAGTAAGGGCTTCAGTTTGCCTTGTAAGGCCTGAGACCAATGAAAAAGATGATGTTGGTTTGCCTTGTGCATTCCAAACCAGTAGCCAGGAGTTTGATCTGTCATTGTGTCGTCCAGGTTTTGAACGGACGACCAGAATGCATCTGTAATCCTGAGTCCATTGAGCAGTTTTCTTGCATCAATCCCAATGAAATTTTCTGCAATTGCTTCATTTTCAATCCAAGTTGCGATAAAGAAAGCTCGATTCCATCAATAATTGCGCATCTCGGATGCGTCGGACAGATTAGAAAGCGAATATTATGTACTTCCCCAACCTTGATGCGATTACAGACTTTCATGCAGTACTGCACATATTGAAGGCCATTATCCACATGCGGGTGATTCAGTTTCAAGACTCGCTCCCAAGACTCGGTAGTGTCGCTAGAGCTGTAGAGATATATTTCCATCACGACTAGGCAGCGAGCAAAGTGCTTCACGGCTGCGAGAATGGGAGTCAATTCGCTGGCGTTCGCAAATCGGTACTCGTTTGAGCGATCGAGAATGACACTGTAGCATGAGATGAACAAGGCGATTAGTTCGTTGCTTTCGTTGTGACGAAAAAGGAGGTTCTGTAGGATATCATGGAAGTTTCGCAACTTGGATGCCATTGGTGCATTGGAATCTGCTCGCAGAGATTCTGCACTCCGAATGGCATCGGGAGGTATATATTGATACAACTGCCTGCTGGAAGACATCAAGTTGAAGACGAATTCCAGTACTTGGACCATTCTGTTGTCATAGTGCTCCACAGTTTTCCGACTAACAGCAATGTTGAGGTCCGACTCCATAAACGTGTGTGACTTGATCCAAACCTTCTGTTCGGTTATGTCGAAGGCCTGCTTGTGGTACGCTGTGACCACCTCGCGTGAAAGTGTGCGTATACGGCTGTCAGTACTCTTGCACAGGGAGCTGGCTTCAGAAAGTTTAAGCCCACAACGCTTTAAGTGAGTGTCGAAGCGAAAAACTGAAAGTAATGCGCTCATCTCTGAAATCCCGGCCTCGTTGATGGCAGTACTCGCTGGAGTGGCTCCCTGCAGTTTCCTCATGGATTCTGCGAGGACATCGGAAAAGAGGTCACCGCCGTTTTCTACGACTTGATAGTATCTGCACTTGTTTCCGCCAAAGATGGCCTGTCCCTTCACCTCATCGAGCTGACGAGATAAATGTCCCTTGCACGCTTTACTCGCAGCACAATTTCGACGAACGGAAGCGCCTTTCCGTGCCAGATATCCGCAGTCGGGGCACTTGTGACACAGTGCCGTGGGAAACCCTTCCAGAGGCGGAAGGGCAGGTCCGGAACGATATTCAACCACAGTCGTTGCCAAGTATTTGTGTCTCATCTCAGCAGCCGATGCATTAACAATGGGAGACAGGCTTCGGGCGTCTCCAATCTCGCCAGCAATCTGAATGCTGCTTTCATGCGAAATTAAATGGTTTCTCTTCATATGCTTCACTACACCATCAAATTCGACTGCGTGTTTGCACCGTACGCAAAATGGGAGATCGAGTTGCTCATTGTATACAACTGTAGGGCCATTCATGACGCGCAACGGACGACAGACAGAACTTTGTAGAGAGGAAGAAGTGGGAAGAGGAAATGAGAGGGGTCAGGGACTACGAGAACCTTGTATTTAGGGCAGGAAGAATGGCGGAGGGTGAAGTTTACATAATTATCGCAATAGTCGAGCATGGAACTATCTCTCCTGCTGTCGATGCATAACCTGCAAAAATACTGCCGTTACAGTTAGAGAATGATCAAAACGTATGGAATGCAATGCTACATGTTTCTGCCGTTACATATCTCTAATAACAAATTGCTGGTCTCCTTGCTGGTCTAGGAAACTTTCTGTAACGCCCTTTAGGACGCCCTGCGCTCGCCAGGACAGCCACCTGTAAGAAGGGTCACGCCCATGTCACATCGGAACAATATCATACAGTGCTGTTCACTGTACCGTACTGTACTGTACTTTTCGGCAGGATACGACCGTCACACAGAGGTGTCTTCCTTTCCCAACTTCCTATAATGTAACAGTGTTCACTGTACCGTACTGTACTGTACTTTTCGGCAGGATACGACCGTCACACAGAGGTGTCTTCCTTTCCCAACTTCCTATAATGTAACAATATTCCACGGCTCTCATGACTTGTGTACGTGTGAAGGTCACAGTCACGGCGAATCATTATCTCGTCCCAGAGCTCGTGATTTGTCACAGATCTCAAACGTATTTCGGTGAACAGTCTCCCTTTTGACATAAGATGCGGTGACAATTTAATCTTGCGACATTTGGGAAATGGTGGCACACATGACATCCTTCATATCATTTGGTAGAATACGAAGAGAGATTAAGGACTTTCATTGTTATGACATCAAGAATATAAGAAAAAGTGGTGGATATGTCAAATCGTATTGGCAGGAGGTCCGCATATTTCATGCAATGGCAATGAGTCAACATAATCCTCAACATGAAAGCGAATCACTCTACACAATTTACATTATAGTCTTTTTCGGTCGTCAGCACACCATAATTTCTGGGATAGCAGTACACATCACAATTTTAATGAAACTCGGTGTCACACATCCTGGATTCTCATTGTAAACAGTGCATTTCAACTCCCATTTTTTCGAAACGATACACACGGCGAAATTAATTGGCGGCTGCAGTCCATTCTCGGACTTCATCGGTAATCAGTACACCAAACTTGGCGGTGACAATACGAAGAGGCGAATATTTCGGCATTTTGTTGCGAAATGTATGTAAGAATATTCCCGTCGTCGTGGGACATTCACCACCGCCGTCGATACCCATCCTTACGAGTGTGTCGCACCCGACAGCGCCCTACCTTGGCCATTCGCTTCTGCAGTATACATCATTTGCCGTTTCAGGTCAGGTATGTTCTCCCTCCGCCATTATACATTATAAAACCACCGTTTTCCATTGCGAAGCATTGCCGCCTGCATTGCCATTACTTTTCGAGAACCAGCACCGTTTTGCCATACTTTTATATGTCCACTTTTAACCACTTACCGCACGCTCAGTGCGGCTTACATACAGTACATCATACCCAAAGCCACCCCCCACCGATCCATACACCGATCCATATCCCTTCAACGCTAAATAGCAAAACGCTAAAAAGCAAAACTCCCATTATACTCAATAAACTCTCAATAGGAAGATAACTCAAGGCGCAACAGGCAAACTAGTCCCTCCCTCTCTTCTCTCTTCTCTCTCCTCTCTCCTCTATCCTCTCCGTGACAAGGAAGATGCGGTCACAAAATTTATTGTGAATGGAGTCCAACAGTCCCCTACTCTATGAAGATATCTCTAATGTAGTCGGCGAACAGTTCCTCTCCAGGATTGATAAGCCTCAATGCCTTGACGCGCATCAGCGTGTGTTTCTGCAACGCAGACGTCGAGGTCACTTTTGACACCGACAGATCATATGCAACGTTGACGTTTCTCGGATTGGCGAGACGACCGTCAACAAAATCTTTGTGATCCTTATCATCTGGGTGATAGCGGTGGTCGTTGATGAAAGCCCCGACGCAAAATCTGGAAGGGACGATTGAAATGGCCTTTTGTCCATCAATAAGGTCCGTCACATTCTGAAAAACTCGTCCCTGCGTTGGCACCAGCATGGCATAGGTCATGAAGCGTTCGCGGTCCACTCCCATCAGCCCTTCTCCGTATGGCTTGTTCTTCGACTTAGACCGAATAAGGTCATGATAGACCAACGTGCCGTAGTAGAGGCAGATGTCGTCGTCAACGTCGAATGTTCTTGTAGCAAAAAGCCCGAGTCCCGCCTTCGGATGCCGAACAGAAGAGGGCGCCAACGCTACGCCGAATTGAACTGCCTCTATCGCTCGGAGGGCGTGGACGTCTGTTTGATGAAAACGACCTTGTAGTTCGCGTTTCCAAGCGTTGAGCGGAACATTGCGACATTTCTGAATCAACTCAGGGCTTTCCCAGGCCGTTGAAAGATAGGCTAGAATGTGATCTGGAAAAGTCTGGTAGGGAGGTAGGCCCGACGGGGGTGCCCACTTCCCATTCCTGCTTCTTCTATTTCCATTCCTGTTGTGCACATACAGAGCTGCACCATGGATGTCGTCGTCCGTCATGACCTGACCTACGTCCACCAGCTTGTTCACAATAGCCCCCGCGTAGCTCTCAATGACCTTCTTCTTGGCGTGCTCGAAGCACACAGCTTCTTTTTCGCAACCAATAAATCTCCTTGCTCCATTATCCTTGTCCAGATTGAAACATGCGATAGCCGTTGAAAATGTTCCGGCAAACGGGTCCACAACAATGTCTCCTGCCTGGGAGAAACGACAGATGAGCTCTTTCAAAAGGGACACGCATTTCTGCTCTGGCCTTAGCATGCGAGAGGTATCTCCGATCTTGACCATGTGCCGTTCTCCCGGAACGAGGCCCATGACATTGTTAATGACATTGCGAGTCGCACGGTACTCGGAGGGAACGTAGTTGAAACACTTGTAGTTCACCATGAGCCTCCCTTCCTTGAACTGTGGACCCTTCTTCATGACATGAATGACCACTTCTGCCATGTTGGACAGCGCAAACGTCGCGCGTCCAGGGAACCCATTGCATACAGATGGATGGTATATGCAGTACAGCGGAGTGGATGCAACCCAAAATGTGGGCTGGCTTGCTTGAGACGATGATGATGAGTCTCCAGACGTCGTAGGATGGGCGGTGAATGCTTCTCTCCATATAGTGAATTGCTGAGCGGAGCAGAATATCAGCGCATGCCCTCCTGGACGAAGCATCTTGTCGACGCAGTTAACGAAAGACTCATACTGTTCTTTCCGGATTTCATCGTAATCAGCATGGTTGCGGCCCCTGTCCCTTCGGACATTGAAGGGAGGGTCCGTTAGGACAAGTTGAACTTTTCCATGCAGCTCTTCGTCTTCGGTCAGGGCATCGTACGCTTCAATGAAAGATTCAAAGTCGCAGTTGTACATCCTCACGGCTGCTTTCCTCATCTCAGAGAAAATGATCCGCTCGTTGTGCACGTCCTCTCCCTCATTCAAAGCTTCCAGAGAGGCTTCATCCGACGCAGTTGAAGTGGATTCAGCCTCCCCCACCACTTGAAGAACGTGCCGTGCACATACGACCTGACTAGAAGCAGAAGCCAGATTCGTCGTTGCACCTGGCGAAGGAGGAGGAAAAGGATCACCGGGAACAGCCGCTGAGGAAGCGATTTCACTCGTATAGGATTTGACCTGTCTCACCAATGCTGCACAGTAGGATCGGAATCTCGGGGGCAGGATGCCCCTGCGTCGAACGTACTTGGTCAGAAAGAACATTTCCTTGACTTCTGTAGCAGAGTAGAGATCACTTGACAATAACGCGCGTTCCAAATCTTGAAAAAAGTCTCCCACAAACTTGCGAAGGTTGCTGTCAACGATTGCAGGCCGATCGAAGGCATCGGTAAAGGTCTTCGTTCGATCGTTTGTTGCCGGCATGTCTTCAACAAACTTGACCAGCGTAGACAGTGGTGCAAACCCTTCTTCTCGGGTTGGAATCACTTCAAACTGCGCCAAGGGAGATACCAATCTCAAGTAGGGTGCACTCATCCTTTCCAAGCTTTGAAATCCGAGGTACTCTGCAAAGCAATTCCAAGCACCGACAACAGTCTCGATGATGTAGCCAATCTTCTGCGGAAGTGGGTCACGCAAGTCGGTTAGACCTTGTACAGAGAGAACTTTGACAGCCTCATCCGGCGTTGCGTTCAGACGTCGTCGTTTACTCGGCCTGCTTCTATTGACAATTGCCATGAGCTTGACCACGGCTGAGACGTGTAGCAGCTGTTGAAAGGGGGTTGCTTCAGTAGTCGGGAAAGGACTTGACTTGCGACGAGTCTTGCTCTCTCCGATGAACGTGAATGAAGGGCAGATCAACGCCATAACTCTCATAGGAAGGTGTGAAGTCAGGACATGCTCGATAAGAGCACGAACACGTCCATCAGTTCCTCTTGTCGCAAACGTGCTCTTACACACGCGAAACGATCTCGCATTAGATCGCGAATCCAGCATGTCCGTACATGACTCTTTCGTATGAGTATACAGCAGGACGTTTCCAGACAAGGACTGAAGCAGTACTTGAATGGGCCGTGGGGTCGTCTGTGCGGAGAAATGTGAAGACAACACCCATGCCATATAGTCTTTCCATGATATTTCCTTGCCGGGATGTTCATGTCTCCAAAGGTCGAGCACTTGATACGAGTGCAGGACGAATCTTGACGTCTTTCCTAATTCCTTAAACGTGTAGTCTCCGTCTGCTGCCATATTTTGGATTCCGGAGACGGCGGCGCTCGTAGTGCAGGACTTTTCGTGCAGCGAGCGAAGAGAGGAACGAAACTGCAAAAGATAAAAGTTCGGAAAGGCGGTCGCCAAAATACCCCTGGCGGTCGGATGTTACTCGGATGTTACTCGGGGCCCGTCGTTTGTGGTGGTTGACAAGGAGAGTGGGTGTATGATGAGGGAAACGGAAAAGGGATGTGGAACAAGGAAAGAGGATATAGTCGTACGAAGGTGTGTGCGTTTGCGTTTGAGCGTGTGTGTGTTTGTGTGTGTGTGTGTGTGTGTGTGTGTGTGGGTCAGTGATCAGTTATCAGTTCCAAGTGATCGGTCCAAGTGATCGGTAGTATGAGTATTGAATTGCGATTATAAATTTTGGTGGGAAATGATACCTAGTGTCGTACGGCACCCCTGTCGTACGGCACCCCTCCGAGGCATGTGATCAGCGGCGGCTGATCACACGACGCCAACGCAGAGTTAGAACTAATTAAAATACGTAAATAATGCATTTGCACAGGATGCAAAAAGTACAGCAGTGACACGTATACGTTTGTTCAGAAATGTTCAGAAATGATGCAAATATGCAGCAGGGTCATGAAGACAAGTGTGTTTCGAGAAGTATGCAAATTTTATACAGCAATGGCGATGTCGTACGACACCCCCTGTCGGTCTGTGATCAGTGGCCACTGATCACAGCTCCCCCCTGATCACAGGTCCAAACTCTCAAAATTTGCACGGAAATTTTGCAAATTTTATCCTGTCGGTCTGTGATCAGTGGCCACTGATCACAGCTCCCCACTGATCACAGGTCCTAACTCTCAAAATTTGCGCGGAAATTTTGCAAATTGCAAACAACAACTTTGCCTAGTTTCTATTGATGAATTCCAAACCTTGAAATCATTGCCGTCACTCAATCTTCGGTCGATTCTGTTTTAAACAAAGGGTAATGGCGGGCTCCTAGACTAAAACCAATCTCCTAACAATGGGATCGTCGTCGAACCCCGCGTCCTTAGGATGTGATCGTAGAACGCGGCAATGTTATTTCGCAAGAGACCATTGGCAACAGGCGAGAGGATTCTAATGATCACTCTTGTTTATTTGTAGTCTCTGAACGTAATATAGATCGTTGCGAGCGAAATGTCGTTTGTTTACGTGCTGTAGTTTTCGTAATGACTAATGCAACGTCAAGAAACACTTGCCTTGCATAAACCGTGCCTGACCCTGACCTTATTCCTCGGTCATCCGTTCTGAAGGTAGAATTTGTCCCTCCTTCAGATAAAGACCGGTAGGGACACGTAGAGACAGCGGCAATAATGCAATGTCTTAGTCATGGTTCACCACGGGTAAGACATTGCATTTGGGTCACTGCGTGTACTACATTCTGTGTTTGTCGCGCGACAAGATCGACAAAAGCTGTATGGGTGGCCACCCATACTAGAATCAACCTCTAAAAAATTAACAAAAAATAATCTAGTTCCAGTATGGCTGGCCACCCATACAGCTTTTGAGAATCTTGTCGCGCGACGGCCATTAACTTGTCATACCAAAGAAACTTGCTTGCGCATGCAGGCCTGCGCGGTATACCTCCATACTATCCGCACCTTGCCCTCCAGATATCGGTCTTTCGGAGAAAGGCTTCCGTAACGTACTCTTCTCACGGCGTCACTTCTATGAAGTTGTGATGGGGGACCCCTCATTTTTTGTGGACATTGACATATCCCAACCGACGACTAACAAGGAGGTACCGCTTGTGGAACATCCGATTGATATGCAGACATGTTGCCAACGCCGTGATGAATACTAATCGGAGAATGTTGTTTCTATCGGCTTTGAGGGCATTAACCAGACTGTCTGTTGCTGTGAACGTGTTAGACCCATCATGCTGGGGCGTAAAGAAGAAGTTAGGTGTCCAACGTGTACGGTACACGTTGCAGGGAAGATTGGATTGTAGTATTGTAGTTGGTTTTAAACGTTTATAACTCAAATGTCTAAGAATTGTGTAATGCACTCGTTTTACCAGTTTATTCCAGTTATGACGAGTCTTCTTCCATGTTTTCCTTAAGGACCTTTCCCTTTGCCCTTGCCGTTTCTACGAGACCAACACACTCCAAGAACGTTTCCAAATGTCATCATTTGGAAGGACTAGTCTAATTTCTGCAAGATCATCCAGTTTCTCGTGCACTGAATCCCACCCAATCTTCTAATCCCACCAAATCTCCTAATCCCACGTAATCTTAAATCCCAGGAATCTCCTAATCCTAGTTACTCCCCTTCTCACCTAAATCTCCGAAGCACAGCGAATCCTTAAAGTACCAAAACTATCCTGCTCCTTACTCCTGAATCTCCTGCCGGCCTGTGAGTAGTGTCTACTGATCACAACTCCCATCCCGCAAAATTTGCCACCCAATTTTGCAAATTTTATACAGCAATGACGATGTCGTACGACATCGCCTGCCGGCCTGTGATCAGTGGCCACTGATCACAGCTCCCCACTGATCAGAGGTCCTAACTCTCAAAATTTGCACGGAAATTTTGCAAATTTTATACAGCAATGACGATGTCGTACGACACCCCCCGCCGGTCTGTGATCAGTGGCCACTGATCACAGCTCCCCACTGATCACAGGTCGTAACTCTCAAAATTTGCACCGAAATTTTGGAAATTTTATACAGCAATGACGATGTCGTACGACACCACCTGCCGGCCTGTGATCAGTGGCCACTGATCACAGCTCCCCACTGATCACAAGACGCAACCCACTTCGCAACCACCTTTTTCAACGTCCACCTCTCTTAGACAAACACGTATTTAATTGTAAAGGAAGTCATGGTTACCTAGTCACTATCGCACCATCGTTAATTTTCTCAAACAATTAGACCAATGGCAGTAAGATGACTAGTTAGACCACGGAACCGGAACCAAATAGTTGGTATGAGTTGCAGGCACCAATACACTCATCTACTTTTACTGCCCCCGTAAAGAATGTACTGCCTCGTGTTTATTCGCAACAATTCTTACTTCGTGATGAAAATTGATATAAATATTATTTTTGGGGATTATTCTGGAGGAATAACCTCCAAAATAATCCCCAAAAATAACATACTTCTAGTATGGCTGGCCAACCACACAGCATTTGTAAATCTTGTCTTGTCGCGCGACGGGGCGGCAATGCAATGTCTTACACGTGTGGACCACGTGTAAGACATTGCATTTGGGTCCACACGTGTACTACATTCCGTGTTTGTCGCGCGACAAGATCTACAAAAGCTGTATGGGTGGCCAGCCATACTGGAATCGACCTCTAAAAAACTAACAAAAATTAATCTAGTTCCAGTATGGCTGGCCACCCATACAGCTTTTGTAAATTTTGTCGCGCGACGGCCATTACATATCATACAAAAGAAACTTGCCTGCCCATGCAGGCCTGCCCGGTATACCTCGTACTATCCACACCTTGCCCTCCAGATTTCCTACGGCAGCCACTGTGCATATAGCACCGTGAAATTCCGTCTACAACAAGGCATTAGCTACGCTAGCTGTACCTGGTCCTCAATTGCCACTGCCATCCTAGACCGTATGGCATCCTACATCACAGACTTAACACTATCCAGTCCAAGCGTGACACTTGTCCATAGATATCTGTCGATATGAGATAGCATTCGCAACAATAGTCATCGAATAAAGCATTTACATCCAGAGTCAAGGTATACCCCCCGCTGTAGTCCAGGTATATACCCTACCATTACTAACCAACATATACCAACTATCATGGAATTGGGTGTGTCTAAAACCCCCCAATTTCATACTCGCAGTCCTAGAGTGCGGTTCCAAGACTGCGATTAGACTCAAATGCATGAAACAACAACCGTTTACAAAAAACCTACTGGATAGAAAGTATGCTACTACTCATCGTACTCACCAGAGCTCGAGCTCTCATCTGTTTCTTCATCTTCCTTCTCTCCCCCATCCTCTTCCATACCTCCCAGTTTCAACGGTTCCCTAGCGCCAACCTCGTCGTCAGTGTTGTCGTCTACGTTGGCCCTGAAAGGAGGCTTGAAGACCAAGTTAATATGCACACCATCTGGGAGATTTGTGCCCTTGGGGACAAAGTACAGATGGTATCTCAACAGACCCGAGTCCCCAAGATAGTCATCAAACCCGGCACCGCAGTGAAATACATCACCCCTCCCCACGAAAATGGAAAACGGTGGGATGTTCACCATTATGCACACCATCCCCCGCGACACAGACCCAAGCGTTCCAGTTCGGGCCGACGCAACCACAGTGTGCGAATTGGGACACACCCATATCGGCACTTCCGTCTCCCCAGTACACAACACGAAGAACCCAGGGAGCTTGTCACGGCTTAACGTCTCCGTTCTCGACATGCTCTCAAAGTCCGTGTGCAGCTGTTGGCGCTTGCAACCCTTGGTCGTCACCAACCATCGACCCCCCGTGTGCGGAGTGTACATTTCCCTATCTCCCCTCCCTCCACAGTTGTCTCCGATCTTCAAGGCAGCCATGCATTGTCCAATTCGAAGGTCAAGAAGAGCACGGTTTCGACACATCCATACCTTCCCGACATCCTGCTCAACCACATTCGTCAGACCGTGATTCGTCGAGGTGAAACGCCCAACGCCCTTCTCCCCATCTATGGCATCTTGGGTACCACCATTGTTCACAATCCCATTCCATACCGTCCTATTCTCGCTCTCTTTCAGAGCTTCCCCTCCAGGAAACATCCCTTCAGTCTCCTTGTGCAGCCGGATGTAGAAGGTAGGATCCATGGCAACGTGAACCTTTTGATTGCTCGGTCCAACGCTTCGTGGCATACGATGGTCGTCCAGAAAGCCCTCGAGAACGCAAAAGCCAGACTCCATAAGTTGCTCCCGACGTTTCCCAAAGTACTCCAAGGCCACTTCGTCACCAAAAATTGATGCAAGCCAGATCTTATCCTCACCTTCATACGCACCAAGGTCCTGTCCAGT